GGGGGGGGGGGGGGGGGGGGGGAGATGGGCACTGCTGGAATTGACTGATGCATTAGTTCTTTAGATCATGTGACTGTGGCGGCGTATTCAAACGCGTTCCAATCTTCTTTTTAAGTACTCAAGCCCTGGACTCAGACGATGGGTAAATCCTTAAGGGCTTGTCCAGTATATGTTGGGAGGTGGGGAAGGAAGACTGATTTTTGACCTCTCGACTTGATCGCCGCATTGCACTTCCTGATGATTTTATCCGTGAACAAGGGGAGAAATAATTGAGCTTAATTTGTCATATTTGACAGGTAAAAAATGATAGTTGGGTAGTCATGCCATTAATAAAACATCATGTATTTCAATTATAAGTAGCAATGCGAATTAACGCCAGTAAATAGCTTATTACCACGCTCTAAAAAGAATGAATAAGCTAATTGAAAAAGATTCGAACCTGGATCCTATTTTGTACATCTTGCAACATCTCTACAACACTTTTTTGCTGCACTATCTTTGGCGAGGCGTTACCAGGAGAAGCTGCTGTGACTGTTGGTAACGACTAGAGACAGAAAACGATACCACAAATGTTAAAGATTGAAAAACACTCGTGAAAAGTTCGCTTTCACAATACTCACGACTTACCGCCATGATGGCAGCGATGGCAGCTGGCTACCAAGCGCAAACGACGCGCGGCTACCAAGGCGCGGCAGCCATGTTTTATTGTGGTTGAGCGATTGTCTGGAGAATTTTTGTGCCGAATTTTCTCAAATTTTTCTAGCCATAAGTTGTCGCGATGTCCCGTCAGTCGGCAGTTCGAGCAGACAATAGGAAAGTGGTAAGTTCTCTTTAAAGCTTGATGTAGTGGGCTCGTGTTTTAAGTTCAACTTTTACTGCATTTTCACATTGGATAACATTTCACTGCAGAGCGCTGAGTTGTTCGTTTTAACCCATGGAGCACTTGTTGCCCAGCTTGTGAAAGATTACGAAAGTGACGAGGAAGTCAATAAACAGCTCGACAAAATGTAGGTACTCTGACTGTTAAGTTCAAGTTATAGAAGTCACGTTTCCGTAAAAAAAAAGAAAAAAACGCTAATTAAAAATGATTATGGTTATTAAATCTTAAACCTTAACTCGTAGAAAGTGGCTAGAAAGCCCTTTTGTATCATAAACAAGTTATAACAGCCCATCTGGTTGGTTAAAACACCATTTACCATCTGACACAACGACAGGCTCTGATTGGTTGCTGAACTCATCCTGTGGGAGGGGGTAGGGCACCTCTCACTCTATCACAGTATCTTGAACTATGGCCATGCAACACAGATGTGATGTCACATGGGCCAGAGGGGGAGGGGGGTTGAGAGGAGGAAGAGGAGGAGGTAATGAGATGTTGCAGATAAATTATAAACACTCGCTTTGAAGCAAGGTGTACCCAACTCAGGGTTGTTGTGTGGTTTTCTTGGGGGGATGTCAAACTATGATTTAGAGGAAAGGAGCAGCAGTCAAAACTGTACTGTCCTACCAAAACAACATAATAGAAACTTGTATTTTTCTTCACAGCTAACAAAAATAAAGATAATGCTTAAGTTGTGATGTACTCTTGTGATACTTAACTAGGGTATATTAGATTTTGTGTAACAAACAATAAGCTCTTCTTTTTAGAATAGCTCAACTATTATCCCTCATGATGACAACTGCCGAGTGAACTGTCACACATGGGAGACCCAGTTTTGGTACCAAATTTGAAAGTTACAGGCAAAAAATGTTTGAAATTTTTGATTTGTTGCAATCTATTACGGTTTCTTTTTTCTTGGATAATATTTCAATCTGTAACTATTGAGTAAAGTTACTGAAGTAAAATACACCCTGTTGACATATGTGTGACCACTGATGTCAGGGCAATATAGTTTTTTACCACCTGCTGAATGCTGATTGATTAATTCAAATTTCATTTGCACTGACCATATGCAAGGATTCCTGTAATCGGAACATTGTTTCTAACTGTGAGCAAACTGGAACAAACCACTTGGGAGGATACTTTTGGCCCATAATATTTGTGTCTGTTCTGTTTCTAGGGGCTATAACATTGGTGTTAGATTAGTGGAAGACTTTTTAGCAAGATCTAATGTTGGAAGGTGTCACGACTTTAGAGAAACCGCTGATGTTATAGCCAAGGTATATGGAACTAGACCACAGTGAAAAACCTTGCATGAAGAGATTGTTAAAGGACAAGGTCACTCCAAAAAGAAAAAAAAAATTTTTTGTAAATGCTAATAAAAACCTCGCATTAAGTTAGTAGCCCCAAAATTTGACATCATTTCTGCCATTTTGAACAGTACTCAGCAACCAGGCTGCATTTTTGTAATGTCATTCTGTCTAATGGATTTTGTCTGAATGGCTTCCAACAAGTGTTTTTAAAACTACCACTCTGGATTATTTTGAGCCAAACATGCTCCAAACTCCAAAAATGATAGCACTGAAGATAGTGAAGTAGATAATTGCTTGGAAAAAGTACATTTTGCTGATGTTGTGAAGGATGCAGCATCAGTTGCAGCTTTTCTCCTTTCCGGCCAATTTAGAGTCGGACGGAATGAACATAAACACAGCCTAGTACAGTAAGTACAGTTGCAAAATGGCGGCCTCTGAAGTCAAATTTTGGTCTTGTTTTGAGATGAATTTCTTCAGGATACCAGGCACCTTGGTGAGTGGAAAAGCTGAATGTTTACTTGCTATGGGTGAAGACAAAAAAGTAAGCTTTTTGGAGTGACCTCCTTTAAGAAGAAAGGTGTAAAATGGATATTGGGTTAGTGGTTGGGGGCAGGGAGTGAACCTAGAATGACTGCAAGGTAGTTTTGGTTGTCTCATAACAGCCCCGGAGGTGAGAGTACTCCCTATAATGGCCTTCAGGTATATAAAAGGGTAGGGATTTCACAAGTTGAGGTATATGAAAGGGTAGGGAACTCTGAGTATCTTGACTCCTATTAACTGAACGTTTAATATGTGTTTTTTGGTGATGCTTGATGTTCTCCTGTAATATTGTTCATTAACTTCATTCCAAGGGTTTACAGGGTTCCAGATAAGCTTTCAAGGTAGAGTGTCAAAAAGGAATTCCAACGGGTCAATTCCCACTCTACCCACCAAACCATTATAAATTTCCTACTAATTTGTCGTGTGATGTAGCTGATCTTGTTGGGTTTTTGACCTGAGACCCCTCACCTATCTGGAACACTTGGTTTAGAAAAGAGATGCAGTGTTCTTAAGTACATGTAGTTACTTGAAAGGGGTACCTTTTTTGTCAAAATGGTATACAGAAGGGTAAGGGGTTGGACCTTCCACATAAAACTTTCTAGAGTACCCCTGCCTTGGCATCCCAAAGAGAGATGCAGTACAGTGTACCTCAAACTGCTTACTGCTGGCTATGTTGTATCAAGAAAATGGTTATGCTATAGAAACTGGGATAGACTTGGCTGGTGTGGGCCACTTCAGCCTGAGAACAGTTGTTACTTTGAGGGTAAAGCTACAACTTCACCTTTCTCTTTCATTACTCATGTTTCTATCTGTATTTGACATTCTCTTACAGCTGGGCTTCAAAATGTTCCTTGGTTTTTCACCAGTGATAACAAACTGGAGTGCGGCATCTGATGAATTCTCTTTGATATTGGACAACAACCCCATGGCAGAATTTGCTGAGTTACCAGAAGGACATGAAGGACTTCTGTTTTCAAATATACTCTGCGGGGTCCTGAGGGGAGCTCTAGAAATGGTAAGATAATTAGCTGGTGTATGGATGCTAACCCAGAAGAACCAAGTCTTGTTACATAAAGTGATTTTCAATTGAGCGTCATAAAACCAAAACCAAATCAATTACTTACCAATTAGACTACTCAGCCAATCTTGAACCGTAGTAAAACCAAAGCCAAAACCAAAGTAATTGCCTGATTACTTTTGAGACTCAATAGACTTTTTTAGCTTGGGCGGTTCGTTTTCCTATTACAGACCATGTGATATTCTTTTGAGAATTGTTCTTTCATTCATCTTAAAATTATTCATTCATACACGTGCGACTATTTGAAAATTTGAAAGCAAGAATTCTCAAAAGTATTATCACATGGTCTGAAATGCATGGGGCAACAAACCGCCCAAGCTAAAAAGGTCCAGAATTGAAAACCACTCTAAACAAACAAAAATGAAAACCGAGGTGAATTAAATTATGATTTGCAAATGGTTAATCAGAAGAGTAATAACCATTCTGCATTGGATTTTCAAGATCAAATTGGAATTTTTAAATGTTGTTTTGGAGAAAAAAAAGTGCATGAGGCAGAAAAAGCTTTCAGAGTACACAACAACAAACTTAATTCATATAAGATGGATTTTGGCCAGTGGAATTTGAACCCAAGAGATGCTGATGGGAGGAAATCACTTGAACTAAAGTGAGCATTATCAACACTGTGCCATCGCTAAGGAATTAAACACTGTTTATGAACAATTATTGGATGAGGTTTTTGTGATATTGAGAATAATCAAGGTCGAGGTAGGGGCCTTCGGCTTCGGCTGATAACACTTGCCGCGACCTTGATTATTCTGGATATCACAAAAACCGAATCTAATAATTGTTTTATTATACACTGAACACTGTCATGTTTTTGCTTCTTCACTGACAGCAAGCAAGACAAAGCGCACAAACTTGACATAATTAAAAAAAATTGTCAAAATGCAAATGAACAAGCAATAGGACTTGTCACACCCTTTGCTTTTAAATGAAGCTCATACAGTCTAAAACTCGTTATATACCTTGGGTGTTCAAGGCCTAATTATCTTTGGCTCGGAGTCAGTGGTGTAGCCTTATTTTACAGAACAGCACTTAGTCAAAAATTAGCTCTGACTACTAAAGGAGGCAACACACTGGACTGCTACTGGCTTCATCAGTTATGTCTTTGCTATTTCTTCTCTTAGGTACAGATGGAAGTTGATGTATGGTTTGTTCAAGATGCACTCCGAGGGGACGAGACGACTGAAATTAGACTCAAGTTTATTAGGAAGCTAGAAGATGCTCTTCCCGCCGGCGAGGACTAAATGTATAGTGTACAGTCTAAATGTAATGTACATACAGTGAACAGTTTAAACAATATCCAGACTGCATAGCCTCCTTTCCAGTACATACTTGCATTGTCACGCAACACGTCATTCATTGCGTAACGACATCGTCACGTCACGCTGCCCCATTGAGGAAAAAAATGTTTAAGAAGTCGGATAACTATTGTGAAGGAGACTGGAACAGTACTGGTACAATTTTTTTTTATTGATTAGTTAAAGCTACTGGGAAGTAAAACTTTGAGCTCTTTCACACTTCGTAATCCAGGTAAAGCATGACTGAGAATTTCTTATTTCTTAGTTACGATCATAGTTACTATGGTTACGACCGACTTTGTCGTTTCTTAATCAGGGAGCTGAATTTTCATCGTGGAGAAAGTCTAGTAGAGATTTCAGCTACCGTAAAGTTCTAAAGCTTAAGACTCTCGTAACTCTTGGATATAGCAACCTTTTGCTATCGCCCTTTCCGAGGGTCGTAATTTTTGGGAGAGGAGGAGGGGTAAGAAATACGTTTGTCTCTAAAACGTGCCCCATACCAGTTGAGCAATCAAAAAATGTATACTTTGAAAAAATTTTCTTGACAGGAAACAGATTTTGTTTAGTAGCTAGAGATAGAAATTTCATCTAAGAACAGAAAAATGTTTTGTATTTTGAATATCGCTCAACTAAAACAAACATCGTTTTGTTACAACTTACAAGTTTGTATGCGCTACGTTCGGAGTTTGCTTACTTCGAGAGTTCCTTGTTTCCGCGTTTTACTAACAGCCATGAAAGAAAAAAAAAATGTATGGCTATGTTCAAAAGATCTCTACTATCGAGGGTGTTAAGTTTCGAAACTTTGCGGTACCATGTCATGAATCAGATGTACTCACAAGAGAGTTTTCTGGAATGTCTCTGACTTAATTAAGTAACAAATAAACCCCTAAGCTTATTTTGCTGTATATAAAAATAGGATTCTTCTAGAAGACTTTAGATTCCAGTGAGTTAATAGTTCAAGGTGTTTAGAGACCTCTTTAAAGTGGAAAACAGGAAACAGATTAGAATCGTCACACGTGATTTGACACGGCATGTTCTAAGATATCAATCCGAGACTATTGGATTCGATAAGTTGAAAAATAAAAAAACTTTAACTTCTTCAAGGTTTTGCGGTACAGAATTGTATTAGTCTGTTATGCTTAGAGAGGACTTTGGCGTGCAAAAGAAGCGAAATTTCAAGGAATTTTAGAAGTGTCGCGCATGATTTGACACAAAGAACTTTCTAGAACGTCTTTCGTGTAACAATTGAAAATAAACATGTGGAAATTTTATAAGTTTATTACAGTTTCTTTTGTGTTTTCTATGATTAGAAACCGTGAGGAACTTATCACCTGAAAGCTGTTTTAGCCTGGCAAGAGCAAACAAGCTGAAATTAAAGGCTATAATGGTCTTTCTAGATGTTTCAGTAGACCCTTTCAGTATATTTTATTTTTCACCTTGAAAATTGGCTATATAGCGAAAATATGTCGAAAATGCTGAAGAGAAGAGCTCCTCAAAATTAAGTTTCTGAGTCGTGTCTTGTAAATCGCGATTTACAGCTTCGTAAGTCGAAAGTTTAAAGAAGCTTGTTTGCTTGGTAGATCAGTGGGTTGGGAAGGCGTTAGAATGTGCGTATGGCGTTCTATATCGAACTTTCTGTGTATTTCAGGTTTAACAAAACCCGACTCATTAAACTGAAACGATCCTGTGACTGAATAGCACGAGACACAAGTGGAAATATCTAGAACAACATTCTTAGCAGACCGTGAAATATTGGACATTATAAGCGTGTTTAAGTAAATAGATGTTGGCGTGGGGTTATTTGGTGAATGTCCAATATACTTGCCTCGTGTCAAGTGCTCAAAAAAAGGAAGTAGCTGATTTGAGGGCGCTAGCGGAGGATTGGTTAATTCTACAATCGTGGACAAAAGTCCTTGGGACACTTATGTAATGTAACGGATTATCTGTGTTTTAGAACTGAAGTATGAAGAAAACGCTGCTATATCCTTTAAAAATGGGTTGCTGTCCCCCCTCCCCACCCAACACAATGTTGAAAATCAGATGAAATTGCACGTACTAGTTTTCAACACTGTATGGAAGGTGGGGGGCGAGGTTAGGCAGGTGAAGTTGTAGTCGCGCCTGGTGTGTACGCAAAAGCGCCAAAAGTGCAAATTTGTCCCAAGACTTTTGTCCATGATTGTAGATTGCCTGTTGCTTCTTCCTTCATTTTTAAACTGTGATCCCATGTTGAAGATTTATCTTATATCTCTTCAGTACTCGCTGTTTTCAACAGTTCTGCATGAAACCTTCTGCTCCAAACGTGCGAGTGTTTTCTGCAGCTGTTGTACTGCTGTTTTCCTAGCCAAGCGAATGTTCTCGTCTCGATTTGTCTCAATGCCGTCTAACTCGATTAGGCAGCACGTAAGAACCTCTTCCAGGATTAGATATTCTTTGGTCTTACCGCTGTCACTAAAAGCATCAACCTTCCTCTCGAGTCCTTCAGCTTTCTTTAGGATGCTTTGAATAGTTAACAGCTTGTTCTTGCTCTCATTTTCTTCTGTAAATTCTTGTGGCAAACATGAAGACAACACTCGCTGAGATTGATCACCGTCCTCTACCTCTACTTGACATTTTTGAGTATTTTCTTTGCCTTCATTTCCTTCTCCGGCAGTATCTTCATTGCTTTCAGAATTGAACTGGTCTAAATCTCTATCTTTCTCACCTTTGTCACAATCCTCAAATCCATCGAAACTTACGACATCAGGAGGTTCACTTTGCTCGGTATTAACTTCTAAAACTGGCGTGGCAGTTTGTTTTGTGTCATGAACGCTGTTTTCACCTTTCACTTTGTTTTCTTCAAGGTCTTTATCCTTGATTTCCCTCCCATTTTTTACTTCATCAAATTCAACTTGGATGGGTATGTCAAAAAATGCTTCCTGAATGTTTCTATTATCAGAGTTCTTTCCAAATGATGTCGGCTCGGATTGATGGGGTTCCAGTGAGCTTTCATTCTCCATATCAATACAATCCCTTACTTCATCCAACTCAACGTGAATTGGTATTTCAAACGAAGTTCCCTTTTTGTTTCGTGCCGTGAGATTTCTTCCAGTTTTTGGGTCGGAATGATGGGGTTTCGGTGAGCTTTTCTTCTCCTTATCATCAAAATTCTTTATTTCATCATTGAATTCAACTTGAATGGGTACGTCGAAGGAAGTTCCCTTTTTGTTTCGTTCCGTAAAATTTCTTCCAATTGTTGGCTCGGAATGATGGGTTTCCCTTGAGCTGCCCGCACTGTATGTGTTTCGTCTTCCGAGTTTCAATGGACGCCTATCCGAGTTGTACTGATCTTCAAACACCTTCTCCAAATCTCCGATAAACGGATTTTCTGTGAAAAAATATCTTCTTTGTTCTCTTCCCTCGGAGGCGTTTTGTTTACGCGGCCCATGTTTCACCTTTGGATATTCTGCAGGCATGTTTGCTTTCCAGAATGGGTTATTTTGATTCCTTTTAGTTGCATTTGTCCCTTGGCTCGGGGATTCAGCTGCAGTTTGTTCGTGATCTTCCTTAGAAGCTTTTTCTTTAGGAAACTCGTTTGGATTTAAAGTCTCCCTAACCAAATTAAGTTTCGGTCGGCTAGGCAAACTCGAAGATCGAGTGAAAATGCGGGGTTTTCCCTGCTCGTCCGTCATTTGTCTCCTAAACTCGGGGTGAACACTGATGGGAATTTCTCTACTCATTGCCATCTTGTATTCTTCAGGAGTCGTTAAGCTGACTAACAACACATTGAAAGCAGTTGACAAAATTGCTTCGCAGATTACCACAACTTAAGAGGATATGGATTTAGAATACGGAAAACAACACACTTTGATATTGGCGCGATTGACTCGCTGCTTGAACGCAAGGTCACTCCTGGAGTGACAGTCGCGTGACATTCTCTCTAACAATCGTCCATAGAGCATGGTTAATTAACAATACGAGTTTTTTTTCATCTTTTAGTTTCGAGTATTCTTTAAAATCTCTTATCAGAAAACCACTTTATTTTTTAATTTAGCGGTTTCTGTATTGTGTTAAAGTGCAGACTTGCTTCTCCTGTTTTTGACCAATGGATCATTCTAGAGCATTCGACTCCTCAACATCCTCAGAATTAACGAAATTTTTGCGGCTTAGAGATTAGTGCTATTGTAAAACGTCGCGTGAGCCCGACTGAGGCATATTGTCGGTACCATCGAAGACTTGATATTATTGACAATGCGAGTATAAAATTAGACTGAGTCGAGTGATATTACGCAGATATTCAATCTCACCATTCAGTTACTAGTTTTCACGCAAGATTTGTTCTATAACTGTTTTTTTCTTTCTTTCTTGTTTTGCTCTTTCGTACAGCTTCGTTCAGAAACCAAAATGTTGTCCTTCTGGGTTCAGGGTATCTTCTCAATCAACCTCATATTGTAGTTTCACCAGCATTTTTTATTGGCCTTCTTTTTATAATGTGGCGCATTTTGGCTAATTTGATCCCATTTTCCAAACATCGACTGTTCCAATTACCAGCTGTTCCCAGTCCCACGCATCACCGCCCCCTCTGTACTCATGTTCTGCTCTCTTTTTAGATTTTTATCTGGCATACTAGCGAAGAAGACAAGCGAGAGTTGTATCATATCGCTTGTATTCTGATACAAATTGTAAAACGATATTAATGTACGAGGTCTAACCTCGCAAAATGATGACAAATATAACAGAAAGGGCCAGAAACTATCAAATTACTACAAAAGCCGCGACGAACTGGACACTAAATTCCAGTCTTCGTAGTTGACGCGGTCAAGATGGAGGACGCTTGGAACTTTCTAGCAAATTTTGAAGGTTTTGTTTGCTGGTAATTTTCATGTTTAACGTCACGATTGTGTTGTAAATAACTATTGAAAAAGGTCTGGACGTACCTGAAAAAATATTAAAATTAATGTAGTCGAAATTAAGAACAGGAAAAAGCAAGAAGTTCTGTTATAGCCAACAAAACAATGGGGAAGGATTATTACAACATTTTGGATATTCCACGCAACGCCAGCGAAGACGAGATTCGAAAAGCCTACCGTAAAATGGCTTTGAAATTTCATCCAGACAAGAACAAGAGCCCTGAAGCTGAAGATAAGTTTAAAGACATCGCAGAGGCCTATGAAGTTCTCAGTGACCCGCAAAAGAGGGAAATCTTTGATAAGTATGGAGAAGAAGGATTGAAAGGAGCACCGAATCCTCCGAGCGGCGCTTCTGGATTCAATTTTGAGATGCCGGCTGGGTTTACAGCTTTCACGTTCCACGGAGATCCGATGTCCACATTTTCCAGAGTTTTTGGACGAGAAGATCCCTTCAGAGGTATTAATGTACTATATATAGTGGTTAGAATATCGAACTTTAGTTTTCGTTGTTGTCGCGCTGAAAATGTGACGTTAGCAGCTTGTGATCTGTACCTCAACTTAAAATGGTCACCTTAAAATAAATTTTTCAGTTACTCCTTCAGCTTACAATATTGTAGCAAGGATTCTTAAATTTCACTTGACTTAATGGCAAATTATTTAACTTTCTTTATCCTTACTTTGGAGAATATCAGTGTTATTATTCCTGTTAAGATTTTAGCTTACTCTAGATTATAAGTGGATGAACGAAAGTCGAGCAGTGTTTTCTGATATATTTTGAATCACATTCACTCAAGCGTGTAGGTCGATCGACAAACTATGTACAGCTCTCGCAAAATTTAATTTGCATGTTGAGGAAACCACTAGAATACTTATTTAATTTACTGACAGCTTTCAGTATAATTACCAGTCCTTTATTAATTACCTTATTTGTTTTCCACTCTTAAATTGCTTTATTTTGTTAACTTGTGGTTTTCAAAAATATAAACGCTTTTGTTTTCAAGTGATATTGTTACATACCTTAAATTCTATTAGGATAGCAGTTGCAGAATTAAGGAAATCTTTGTGGGGTTCTTATCATAGTTTCTTAATACTAAAGCAATATGTGGGTAACTAATTTAGAATCTCTTGGTAGGCATGTAAAAGAGGTATCTCAAAACAAATGTTCTGGAAGAATGCAGAACATTTTACTCTGTTTGTAAAGAAACATAGGTCATCTGGATTAACCTTGTTAGTTCAAATGTCACATTCAATACAAAGTAGATTTTAAAACCTTACAAATTCATTTCAGTTTGCTATTTCTTTGTCTGTCTTTGCCTGCTTCTTTGTCTGTTTTTCTTTTGTAGTTAGAATTTGTGGTGAAGATAAAAAAGATTAAATATAAACTGTTAACTTATGAAACACAGAACAACTTTGTTAATTTATTTATTTATATCAAAATCAAATTAAACATGGAGTGTTGATTTTTGTGGAGGGAGGAAAACCAGAGGATGTTGAAAAAACCCTTGCGGCAAGGACGTTTGCTTCATTTAATTCCATTAGCACTTTTTTTTTGTCTGGTTTTCAAGGATTAATTTATGGATAAAAGACAGGTTCTTCCCAAAAGCACAGTCACATCTTCTAGAACATTCTTATGACAGCAAAAATTTATTTTAGGAGGGAAAGCTTGTGAAAAAATGAAGAATATTGCGAGCTCTCCTTCTAGAACCATCCATCATAACATTTCTAACATTTACTGCTTGTTTTTGGGATTCGCTGCCAATGAAAGAGACTGTGTTTTGCCTCAACTGCTGTCTTATTTGATGATTCTAGAAGCTCAGTATTAATTACCTTGGAATGTGTGTCCTGGAGAGATCAGGGGTATCTGATCATAAATTTAAGTATTGATTTAAAGCCAAATTCCTAGGATAAGAGCATAAAATATGAAAGAATTGATCAGGTAGTCAATCAGTGTCTCTGTCTGTTCATCTCTCTGTTAGTCAGTCAGACAGTCAGTCAGTCCAGCAGTCACTGATTATTGGAAAAATTCTAATGGAACAATCAATCAGAATTGATGTCTTTTTGAGTCTACACATGGAAAGGTATTAAATACAAGATGCTTTTTACGTAATGGGCTGCAATGAAAAATACTAAGTACACCTGTCAAAAAATTGTAGTTGTCTTCAGAATTAAATAGTTTTAAGATGGTACTGTAACAAATTTTTTTGTTGCTCACTCATGAATAAATGGTTGACTTTCTTCCAGGAATGTTTGATCATGGATTTGGTATGCCTGGTGCTTTTGGAGGAACAGATTTTGCTGATGTTGGAGGTTTTCATGCCTTCCACCACCAGGGACACCCTGCTTATAGTAGACAGAGGTCGTCATCTTTTGAAGACATGTCATCATTTGCTCGCAAAAAGGCCCAAGATCCTCCAATTGAAAAGTTCCTCATGGTGTCGTTAGAGGAGCTCCTAGAAGGAACTACTAAGAAACTTAAAATCATTAAAAAGGTTTTGAATCCTGACAGAGTGACAACTCACCCAGAAGAAAAAATTCTCACAATTGATGTAAGAAAGGGCTGGAAAGAGGGAACAAAAATCACTTTCCCGGAGGAGGGGGACCAGAAACCTCACACTGTTCCCGCAGATATCATATTCACAATCAAGGACAAACCACATCCTCACTTCAAACGAGATCACGATAACAACATTCTCTATACTGCACCGGTATCCCTGCGGGATGCTCTCACAGGTCACACCACAGCATCTTCTGTGCCAGTTCCCACATTGGACAGCAGGACAGTCAACATTCCTCTTAACTCTATTATCAAACCTGGAGCGAAGCGGCGCATAAAAGGTGAAGGTCTACCTTTGCCCAAGAGGGTTAATCAACGAGCCGACATGCTAGTGGAGTTTGAAGTTTTGTTTCCAACAGAACTTCCTTCAGCTAGTATAGACTTGTTGAAGAGTGCTTTACCCGAGTGAGGTTAGAAAACTCTGAACTTTTAAGCTGTTATCATTAATAGCTATGTTAAATTATTTTTGAAGTTTTAAAGCTTCAGCTGTGAGTGGGTTGAACAAGAGATTCACTCTTCGGGACAATTTTTCCCTACTCTTATAAGGAGAGGAAACGAATGGCTGTGGTATTCTGTTGTCAAACACATTATTGGTCTGTATGGGTGGCACTTTCAGCATTTTCTTGGGGTGGGTGGAGTGTAGAATGCGTACTTGATTTTCAAGCACTTAAGGTTGGCTCTTTACAAGTTTTACGATCACCATTGTAAGTTNTCGAAGGAAGTTCCCTTTTTGTTTCGTTCCGTAAAATTTCTTCCAATTGTTGGCTCGGAATGATGGGTTTCCCTTGAGCTGCCCGCACTGTATGTGTTTCGTCTTCCGAGTTTCAATGGACGCCTATCCGAGTTGTACTGATCTTCAAACACCTTCTCCAAATCTCCGATAAACGGATTTTCTGTGAAAAAATATCTTCTTTGTTCTCTTCCCTCGGAGGCGTTTTGTTTACGCGGCCCATGTTTCACCTTTGGATATTCTGCAGGCATGTTTGCTTTCCAGAATGGGTTATTTTGATTCCTTTTAGTTGCATTTGTCCCTTGGCTCGGGGATTCAGCTGCAGTTTGTTCGTGATCTTCCTTAGAAGCTTTTTCTTTAGGAAACTCGTTTGGATTTAAAGTCTCCCTAACCAAATTAAGTTTCGGTCGGCTAGGCAAACTCGAAGATCGAGTGAAAATGCGGGGTTTTCCCTGCTCGTCCGTCATTTGTCTCCTAAACTCGGGGTGAACACTGATGGGAATTTCTCTACTCATTGCCATCTTGTATTCTTCAGGAGTCGTTAAGCTGACTAACAACACATTGAAAGCAGTTGACAAAATTGCTTCGCAGATTACCACAACTTAAGAGGATATGGATTTAGAATACGGAAAACAACACACTTTGATATTGGCGCGATTGACTCGCTGCTTGAACGCAAGGTCACTCCTGGAGTGACAGTCGCGTGACATTCTCTCTAACAATCGTCCATAGAGCATGGTTAATTAACAATACGAGTTTTTTTTCATCTTTTAGTTTCGAGTATTCTTTAAAATCTCTTATCAGAAAACCACTTTATTTTTTAATTTAGCGGTTTCTGTATTGTGTTAAAGTGCAGACTTGCTTCTCCTGTTTTTGACCAATGGATCATTCTAGAGCATTCGACTCCTCAACATCCTCAGAATTAACGAAATTTTTGCGGCTTAGAGATTAGCGCTATTGTAAAACGTCGCGTGAGCCCGACTGAGGCATATTGTCGGTACCATCGAAGACTTGATATTATTGACAATGCGAGTATAAAATTAGACTGAGTCGAGTGATATTACGCAGATATTCAATCTCACCATTCAGTTACTAGTTTTCACGCAAGATTTGTTCTATAACTGTTTTTTTCTTTCTTTCTTGTTTTGCTCTTTCGTACAGCTTCGTTCAGAAACCAAAATGTTGTCCTTCTGGGTTCAGGGTATCTTCTCAATCAACCTCATATTGTAGTTTCACCAGCATTTTTTATTGGCCTTCTTTTTATAATGTGGCGCATTTTGGCTAATTTGATCCCATTTTCCAAACATCGACTGTTCCAATTACCAGCTGTTCCCAGTCCCACGCATCACCGCCCCCTCTGTACTCATGTTCTGCTCTCTTTTTAGATTTTTATCTGGCATACTAGCGAAGAAGACAAGCGAGAGTTGTATCATATCGCTTGTATTCTGATACAAATTGTAAAACGATATTAATGTACGAGGTCTAACCTCGCAAAATGATGACAAATATAACAGAAAGGGCCAGAAACTATCAAATTACTACAAAAGCCGCGACGAACTGGACACTAAATTCCAGTCTTCGTAGTTGACGCGGTCAAGATGGAGGACGCTTGGAACTTTCTAGCAAATTTTGAAGGTTTTGTTTGCTGGTAATTTTCATGTTTAACGTCACGATTGTGTTGTAAATAACTATTGAAAAAGGTCTGGACGTACCTGAAAAAATATTAAAATTAATGTAGTCGAAATTAAGAACAGGAAAAAGCAAGAAGTTCTGTTATAGCCAACAAAACAATGGGGAAGGATTATTACAACATTTTGGATATTCCACGCAACGCCAGCGAAGACGAGATTCGAAAAGCCTACCGTAAAATGGCTTTGAAATTTCATCCAGACAAGAACAAGAGCCCTGAAGCTGAAGATAAGTTTAAAGACATCGCAGAGGCCTATGAAGTTCTCAGTGACCCGCAAAAGAGGGAAATCTTTGATAAGTATGGAGAAGAAGGATTGAAAGGAGCACCGAATCCTCCGAGCGGCGCTTCTGGATTCAATTTTGAGATGCCGGCTGGGTTTACAGCTTTCACGTTCCACGGAGATCCGATGTCCACATTTTCCAGAGTTTTTGGACGAGAAGATCCCTTCAGAGGTATTAATGTACTATATATAGTGGTTAGAATATCGAACTTTAGTTTTCGTTGTTGTCGCGCTGAAAATGTGACGTTAGCAGCTTGTGATCTGTACCTCAACTTAAAATGGTCACCTTAAAATAAATTTTTCAGTTACTCCTTCAGCTTACGATATTGTAGCAAGGATTCTTAAATTTCACTTGACTTAATGGCAAATTATTTAACTTTCTTTATCCTTACTTTGGAGAATATCAGTGTTATTATTCCTGTTAAGATTTTAGCTTACTCTAGATTATAAGTGGATGAACGAAAGTCGAGCAGTGTTTTCTGATATATTTTGAATCACATTCACTCAAGCGTGCAGGTCGATCGACAAACTATGTACAGCTCTCGCAAAATTTAATTTGCATGTTGAGGAAACCACTAGAATACTTATTTAATTTACTGACAGCTTTCAGTATAATTACCAGTCCTTTATTAATTACCTTATTTGTTTTCCACTCTTAAATTGCTTTATTTTGTTAACTTGTGGTTTTCAAAAATATAAACGCTTTTGTTTTCAAGTGATATTGTTACATACCTTAAATTCTATTAGGATGGCAGTTGCAGAATTAAGGAAATCTTTGTGGGGTTCTTATCATAGTTTCTTAATACTAAAGCAATATGTGGGTAACTAATTTAGAATCTCTTGGTAGGCATGTAAAAGAGGTATCTCAAAACAAATGTTCTTGAAGAATGCAGAACATTTTACTCTGTTTGTAAAGAAACATAGATCATCTGGATTAACCTTGTTAGTTCAAATGTCACATTCAATATAAAGTAGATTTTAAAACCTTACAAATTCATTTCAGTTTGCTATTTCTTTGTCTGTCTTTGCCTGCTTCTTTGTCTGTTTTTCTTTTGTAGTTAAAATTTGTGGTGAAGATAAAAAAGATTGAGTATAAACTGTTAACTTATGAAACACAGAACAACTTTGTTAATTTGTTTATTTATATCAAAATCAAATTAAACATGGAGTGTTGATTTTTGTGGAGGGAGGAAAACCAGAGGATGTTGAAAAAACCCTTGCGGCAAGGACGTATGCTTCATTTAATTCCATTAGCACTTTTTTTTTGTCTGGTTTTCAAGGAATAATTTATGGATAAAAGACAGGTTCTTCCCAAAAGCACAGTCACATCTTCTAGAACATTCTCATGACAGCAAAAATTTATTTTAGGAGGGAAAGCTTGTGAAAAAATGAAGAATATTGCGAGCTCTCCTTCTAGAACCATCCATCATAACATTTCTAACATTTACTGCTTGTTTTTGGGATTCGCTGCCAATGAAAGAGACTGTGTTTTGCCTCAACTGCTGTCTTATTTGATGATTCTAGAAGCTCAGTATTAATTACCTTGGAATGTGTGTCCTGGAGAGATCAGGGGTATCTGATCATAAATTTAAGTATTGATTTAAAGCCAAATTCCTAGGATAAGAGCATAAAATATGAAAGAATTGATCAGGTAGTCAATCAGAGTCTCTGTCTGTTCATCTCTCTGTTAGTCAGTCAGACAGTCAGTCAGTCCAGCAGTCACTGATTACTGGAAAAATTCTAATGGAACAATCAATCAGAATTGATGTCATTTTGAGTCTACACATGGAAAGGTATTAAATACAAGATGCTTTTTAAGTAATGGGCTGCAATGAAAAATACTAAGTACACCTGTCAAAAAATTGTAGTTGTCTTCAGAATTAAATAGTTTTAAGATGGTACTGTAACAAATTTTTTTGTTGCTCACTCATGAATAAATGGTTGACTTTCTTCCAGGAATGTTTGATCATGGATTTGGTATGCCTGGTGCTTTTGGAGGAACAGATTTTGCTGATGTTGGAGGTTTTCATGCCTTCCACCACCAGGGACACCCTGCTTATAGTAGACAGAGGTCGTCATCTTTTGAAGACATGTCATCATTTGCTCGCAAAAAGGCCCAAGATCCTCCAATTGAAAAGTTCCTCATGGTGTCGTTAGAGGAGCTCCTAGAAGGAACTACGAAGAAACTTAAAATCATTAAAAAGGTTTTGAATCCTGACAGAGTGACAACTCACCCAGAAGAAAAAATTCTCACAATTGATGTAAGAAAGGGCTGGAAAGAGGGAACAAAAATCACTTTCCCGGAGGAGGGGGACCAGAAACCTCACACTGTTCCCGCAGATATCATATTCACAATCAAGGACAAACCACATCCTCACTTCAAACGAGATCACGATAACAACATTCTCTATACTGCACCGGTATCCCTGCGGGATGCTCTCACAGGTCACACCACAGCATCTTCTGTGCCAGTTCCCACATTGGACAGCAGGACAGTCAACATTCCTCTTAACTCTATTATCAAACCTGGAGCGAAGCGGCGCATAAAAGGTGAAGGTCTACCTTTGCCCAAGAGGGTTAATCAACGAGCCGACATGCTAGTGGAGTTTGAAGTTTTGTTTCCAACAGAACTTCCTTCAGCTAGTATAGACTTGTTGAAGAGTGCTTTACCCGAGTGAGGTTAGAAAACTCTGAACTTTTAAGCTGTTATCATTAATAGCTATGTTAAATTATTTTTGAAGTTTTAAAGCTTCAGCTGTGAGTGGGTTGAACAAGAGATTCACTCTTCGGGACAATTTTTCCCTACTCTTATAAGGAGAGGAAACGAATGGCTGTGGTATTCTGTTGTCAAACACATTATTGGTCTGTATGGGTGGCACTTTCAGCATTTTCTTGGGGTGGGTGGAGTGTAGAATGCGTACTTGATTTTCAAGCACTTAAGGTTGGCTCTTTACAAGTTTTACGATCACCATTGTAAGTTTAACAAATTGACGTCAGTTTTTCAAGCGCCCGTCCATTCTGTTTTTGATGATTTCGTCATAACATTGTCAAAGTAGCTGTGGATAGACCAGGCAATGAAAAAGGCAGCAATTATAAATTAATCTGTCTGTCTGCTTATTGACAATGAAAATTAGCCAATAAGTGCACAAAAATTTCTGCAGTTATTGTAAAATGTAATATTTCTTCATAATGATTTTCATGCAATATGTATACATTTAATTCTACATGTGACATGTCAGATGGTAGGAGACAGTGCTTTGGATCTGTGAGTGTTATTGCAACGTTAGAGAGGTCTTACAAAATTTACTTCACCTTACAATAAGCATTGTTCACCTCCTTCCCCAAAGGGTCCCATTTCCCTAAATTCCTGAAACATGCATGGGGAGGGTTGTGTATCCTTTGTCCTCCTCGGGGATACTACTCAATCTAATTTATTATGACTATTTTTTGACATCTTTATGTTGGTTACTTGTCCAAGAAAATTTATTACGTAGTAATTTGAAGCCAAGATAAAAATTTACCAGATTTTAAGAAGACCATTTTCATTGGGTACATTTTGTGTATTTTTTTGATGTGAAAACATTACATCTCCGCATGCACAGCCATTAGTGGCATAAGCACAGAGTATACACTCTATGGAATCATTTTATCATGAGAGAAATCTTTAGATCAGGAAGATTATTGAATCAATCAGATCATGTAACAAACATTGCTGTTAGAAAGTGGGCATTTAGCTGGTATTGCTGGCAAATATTGAGTTCACTGAATAAAGGAAATTAGGCAAAGTAGCTTAAAGAGAAAGAGAAATTTGTTTAGTTGTGCGAGTGTTCAGGTGTGATTTTATTTAATGTTATAGAAATACAAGTTAATTTATGCTGTTGTTGCATCAGATCAGACACATAATTTATTGTTTGTTTCATTTTCTTCAGCCACATATGACATTTGTAATAATTAGTTCGTATTTCCTAATTTATTAGCACAATAAAACATGAACACGAGTAAGAGCTGTATGCCAATAGTTGAGATGTCTGCATTTTAAAATTCAAAGCTACTTTATTTTATCTTCACCCTGACTTGAGAGGTTTTACTTCCTTGCCTTCATTTCTATTGAATTTCAGTTGCCAGGCAGTGACAATCAGTTTGGAAAAATCTTTTTGAAAGTCATTAATAATTCACCAGATTCAAAGAAAGCAAATCATAACCTTGACAGTGTTTTGATATCTGATCTGATCTGAGGTAATTCTTAGTGCGAGACCATTCATACGAATGTTAGTTCCGTCTACAGGTTCATGTTCATGGAAATGAAACTCCTTTTTGCACGAGGACTCGTTTGAAACCGAGGCACAGGGTGTCTCAGAAATAACCTATTGCATTGCGCATCCTTGCTGCGCATGATTTCCGTGTCAGCGGACACGACATTCACACACAACATTAAGAGCTTTCAGGAGCCTATCACGAGAAGCGTGCAACTCCCATACTAAGCCTATGTCAAGGTATTTTTACAGACCGGTCTATTCCGCGAAATAGGTCAGTTCCGTGTACATGAGCGCGCATCGGTAAGGAAAAACAATTTTTTCTTTTTAATCTTCAGGCGAAAAGATGGCATCAGTTAAAAATTAAGGCCGTGCTTTTTTTTTTGTGATTGGTCACTGAGGTTCCTGCGGGGGCCTTCATTCGCGGTAAATTCAAACTAAAAATAGATCGGTCTGTGAAAACCCCGTGACGGGAATATGGGGTAGTTACACGCTCCTAGTGATGGGATCCCGGAGCTTTCCATCAAGCTTAAATCTACAGCAAAATCAATGTTTATGCTCTCCTGAATAAACATGGCGACCGAAACGTCGTGTTATAGCGTTTATATTCTTTTAAAATGACCCCCACTTTTTCATTCAAATTTTAAAAGACATACGGTTGACTAAACTTTATCGTGAGCCAGAGAAAAGTATATTTTTATAATCCAATACTTCAAAGCAAAAAATGACTTTTCACAGAAACGACAGTTCCCCTTTATGGTCACTGGATTTTCTAAGGATACCTAAGGGAAACCTCGAGGGTGAATTTGTCACTGAAAAGACCGTCCCATATTGCCCAAAAAAGGGCACGGCGCCCCTGGTTTTTGCTTCATTTTTGTAATATTCACAACATACTAGTAATTACCAATTGGACCAAGTTATTATTTTTGTTTGATTGAATCATCTAAGACCCCATCTACACTACGCCGAAGAAATTTTAAAACACAGCTTTATTTCTGCGGTTAGGTCTACCGTCTACACGAATCCGTCACGAAAACGGAGCTCTTCACACCGGGGGAATTTGAAAACTCCTGCTCTGCGTTTTAGCGTGGACGGAAAACAATTTGAAAACGGACCTTTTCAAAAACGATGACGTCACAATAATCACGTGATTTCGCTTACCGAGTTTTTTCAAACACAAATCCAAAATGACCGGTGATTGTTGCGTTTTAAAAATTCCTCCGACGTAGTGTGGACAGGGCCGGCCTTACAGAGAATGCTTTGTAAGAGTACAAAGTACGAAACTTACAAATCATGCCGAATGTTTACTCTATCATCAGCTGTTTATTGTGTGTGCCGCTTGAAATCGTTACGGACTGAAGTTGCTTTATTCAATAACCAATAGAGAAATTTCTCGACCAAAACAGCAGAGCTGTACCACGAAAGTAGCAAAAAGACCTCATATTTTTGTGTGTTTTTAATGAAGGAATCAGTTACCCTCTGTAAAAAGAACACAAAAAGTGGTAACGCAAAACACGTTGATGCAGTCTTATACATTCCGTGATGCTATAATGCATGCACGACCTGAGCATCACCCTATACTTCTTCAATGTTCTTGGCACGATCAAGCCGTTTTCATTTTTTTTTTAATAAAAATTTCTTCAAGCTGTCCCCATTTTAGTCCACTAAGAGGTAAGTGGTGACGAAGATGTCAACTAAACCTGCCACTGGAGCCTCGTTCACACTACACCGGAGGAATTTGAAAACGCAACAATCACCGGTCATTTGGGATTTGTGTTTGAGGAAAACTCTGGCAGGAGAATACCATGATTATCGTATCGTAGCCGAAAAGCTTTGTTTTCAAAATGTTTTCCGTCCACACTAAAACGGAAAGCCGGCGTTTTCAAATTCTTCCGGTTTGAAGAGCGTTTTCGAAAAGCTCCCTTTTCGTGACGGATTAGTGTGAACGCAAGGCCTAACCGGAGAAATAAACCTCCGTTTTCAAATTCCTCCGGTCATGTAGTGTGGACGGGGCCGGGTACATGTTCATGCACTGCACGAGCAGTTATATCCGACTGCCCCATTTAAAGATTCACCCCTGCCAATAGTAAATTTTACTCATATTGGACCATGGGCCTGTACAATAAAACTTATTTCAGTCTTATCCACCATTTGAACCGCTAATTAAAATTAATGTCATAGCTTCTCATGATCTGTTAACCACAAAATGACAGGAATGTACCCTGAGAGACAGATTCCCTTCTCATGCCAAGGCCCCGCCGGCTAAGAATAGCGAAAAGGGCTATGGGGACGAAAATGTTCCAGGTGGAGTTAAAAAACATTTTTCTTTTGCAGAGATGCTGTTGAGAAATAAATGGTTTCTGTTATATCATGTAGCCTGATATTGGCCTTCATCACTCATTAATTGCACATACACCCAATCCATTAGTCAGCTTCATAATGACGTCAGCACATTTTCACTAGTGGTCCCTCGCGTGTATTCTCACGCGTGACCCAACAACACACCCCCCCCCCCTCCCCCACGGGTGGCAACTCTGGAGCTGTTGGAACGATTAGTTGTGGAGCAAATGTTGTGCGACTGTCAGCTATTGAAATGTTCCCTTGTTTTCGAAAATGCGTACTTCTTTTCCGACTGAAAATGTACTGCGTTTGGACAGTTGTTTCGACCTGTCTCAATACCACCAGAGATCCTATTTTCTTTGCTTACCCTGCTGAAAGGCACTGTGATGTTGAAGCGGCTCTTCTAGCAGGGTCAGATTCAGAGACTTAAAAGTGGCTGGGTGGCAGCGTGGCAGAGTGGTTAGGGCAAAGGACTTGATCAATCCGGAGGTCGCGGGTTCAATTCCCCTCTTACCACTAAACTGGAGTTGTTTCTCGGTAGACCCTAGTTCAACTCCTCGGTCATGCTTGTAAATAGCCAACTGGTCTGCCTCCCGCCAGCTGGGATTTTTAAGCCTATTATGTTTATTTGAAATATTTCTTTCTTTCTGTTAAGTGGCATACCTGAAAACTAGCTAGGTAACGGTAGCTAAGCTCATTGACCACTATAACCATTCAGCATTCACGACCATTTAATATTGAAGTAGTCTTACATACAGAAAGTGTTTGTTTTCATAAAACACGTCTGTGGGATAGTTTTGGAACAGCTCTCCTTTGGGTATAAAAACACTGTGGTCATTATAAGCGAGATAACTTACTAATGCACGATTCGAGAAGCATGGAATTAAGTTTAACCTGTTCAAAAGCAAGTTGCCAAGGAGACAAACCTCTGAAAACAGTGTTTTTAGCTTTTCTTTCTTGAAAATGTAAGAAAAATCAACTGACATTACTACGCCTTTCAATAACATGCGGACTCCAAAATTCAAAGCTCAACCGACAAATGCGTTTTTCGATACCGTCAATCAAATGTTCGGCGGCTCCTCCCAGCTTCCGACTACTGCTGAGCACCCGATAATCAAATCGTTGAGCACAGTCCAGACAACGAAACAGTGCTTGGCAGTAGTCGGAAGCTTGGAGGAGCCGCCGAACATTTGATTGACCGCATGTTATTGAAAGGCGTAGTAACTAAATAACAGGGCAAAGATTTCATAAATTGAACAGTTATAGGTTTATCTCTTGGATAATTATGTTCTTAACCAATTCTAAAAGTTCTGACAAAATTCGTTCAATGAGAGTACGCAAAAAACCTGGGATTTTGAATGCACTGTTTGTCAGTCGTTAAGTGGCCATAGTAATACAAAACCAATTAAATTTCGACAAAAGTGAAAAACCGCTCTATAACTAACACATTACTACATTCATTTGTGTTTGTTTTGCGTGTTATTTGTACTAATCTGGTTGAAGTGGAATCAAGTTTTTTTTTCATCACATTGAGAGTTGTGAACAGAGTACACTCACATGCTTGATTAAACTGAATGGAAGCAACTGTTTCAGTATGGATTTTTCATTATTTGTAATAAATAATAATCTACACTTCTTAATAATGAAAGTAACACATTGAATTGAGATCTATACAGTGTTATATAGTTGCTTTGCCTTCCAAAAAAGGCTTTGACAAGAGTATGGTGACCAATATTACAAAAAAGTTAATTAGTGAAGTTGAACATGGGAGAAACTGAAATTATTCAAGGAAGTTGAAACTACTAAATTATTCTTACCACATATATTACATTGATTACTACTATGTCTAAATGATGGTGGTGGAAGGTATGTATAGCTGAGAGGATAAGTCAGGCATGCATCTATGGACACCCGAGACTAAAGATACCATCCAAGAAGTCTCGAGTACTTATCTCGATTTGCTAACACTCTATTAATTACGTCAACATTGCGCTAATCAAACGGACAGTCAATCAAGTTAAAAAGTTTGGTTCGCAAATAGTGAATGCCCCTTCATGTTCCAATATGGTCAATGGTGTTACGCAGGTAACAATGTGCCAACCCTTTTACAAGTTCTCATTAAGACGAAATCAAAAACATTTGGCATACAGAAAGTGGTGTAACGAACAAAATCCATGGAAATGTCCAAAGATTGTGAAAGAGCATGGTGTATACGTTTGATTACTGCTGCCGCTTACTTTGGCTCAGTTATCTGTTAATCTCTGAAAAAGAGAGCTGTACAACTGAACATTTACAACTGATGATCAAAGACCAGGATATCTGAATTTTCAGTTTTTCCGAGAATTTGCCTAGAACACATAACCCAAAGTCAAGTCGTGCTCACATCCTCAGCTCATCTGAATTATTTGCAATCTTTTGCCTGCTCTTTTCTTGTGTAATCCAGCCATGTAAAGTGAATTGATAATGGATTACATTTCTAGAACCTCAACAGGATCTCTGTCAGCTTTTGGGGGAAACCTCATTTGAAAAATCTATCCTCTTCCCAGTCTCATCCTCGCTCCAAGGGAAAGACGAGTAGAGCCTGGGAAGGCAACTGCTATGTGAACATAAATAAGATGTCTGCGTATGACGTGTTTCTCACTGCACGGTGATTGGATGACAGCTATTTCAGAGTAAACTACATATGACATATTTGTGTCGAAGAGATAGGTTTTCATGACCAAACACGACGGTGGTATATACAACTTAAAGAGACTAATTGTCATCAACAGTTAGGCCAAATATGCTGTCAAAAGCATTGGCCATCAAAGATGCTCCTAAAGATGAGTCTGTCACTGGCTAGGTTGAGCCTTCTGTTAAAAGCAGCAAGTGAATGCCTCCCATCTTTCTTAACATCAAATGCCTTTGAGTGTTGTTACACCTGTGTCATAGGGGGCTGACCAATTCTATTCACTTCATAAGGTAGTCCCAAAAACTGGTCGGCAATTCTACCAGCCTCTCTCAGACCACTCAACAGGGCTCCATGTACTGTGGCTGGATAGTTCCTGATCGTATGCTCCCCAGCAAAGAACACTCTTGGAGGGTTGGGCGGGGCAGGGTTGCCTGGCGGCATCCCTGTCAGTGCTGGAGGGGCTACTGGGGATGCCATTAGATCATAGTCATTTCCTGATGAACCTGCTGCTACGAATGAGTAAGAGCCTCGTGACCACTCGTCTGACTTCCATCGAGTCACTACTGTCTCTTTAGGCTGTAAGTAACAAAGCAAAGATTTAGTCATGCTCTGTTACATAGACAATGATGATCTGCTTGGAACTCTTAGGGCCTTGATTGTTTCTCCGTTCCAAACCTTGAAACGGTTCTGCACAAATTTACTGAGAAGTTCAGATCATTGAATAAACGATAAAGATGAACGATTACCATAACAAATTGAGGTTTAATTAATAAAGATGTGAAATACATGACATTGCTCCTTTCGTTATTTTTCATGAATCACAGAACAAGAAACCACAAAAGTGAGCGGATCTTAAATAGAACAACAACCATACAGGTAGCTGCCACAATTTTGAAGTCATGAAGGTTCTCTGTTCAACACTGAGAAATACTGCCCCAAATACACAAAACATACCTGAGGAACAGCACTGCTCCCAAATATCCCCTTCAACACTGCAATGGCACTTCCAACAATGATCTCATCAGACACATTCTCCAACTTGTTGGCAGCTTCACCAGCCACAAGGGCAATGAGGACTGGAGACTTGTAGAGATTCCAGAACAAGAAAAGCTCTCCACGATTGGCTGTTGTGCTTCCAACGTGACCAAAGAGATTAGTGTTTGGATCCCAAAACACTCGATCAAAACACAGAACGACCTACAGTCAACAAAGCGACATGTTAATAGACACAATTTCCCCACATGTACAGTGACATCGTCATGTATGTGATCAATGTGTCATACAAAGAGAATGCTAATATTCATCGCCAGAGGCGACTTTTTACTCCATAAAAGAACATAACATGTTGCTTTTCTGATGTACACATGAAGGATAGATAAATCTATTCATGGAAAAACTATCACTTAAAGTTTCTTTCACTAGGAATAATCAAAACGCACTATTTATGTACTGAGTAAGTTTCCTTTAGTACTCTGGTATTCTGAAATGCAACACTTGGTCACTACTTTTTAGGTGCAAGATTGTGCCAGGTTGGTAGTACATGTATGGTTAGCACAAGGGCTAAGTTTTGTTGGTAAAGTGAAGTGACTCAAAAACCCAGCAGCTGCATGTACCCAATCATACCACTAGTGCCTACCATTTTAGAGACATTCTCTTGGTTCAAAGTAACAGAAATGCCTCAGGTAAAATTCCTGTTATTCACCAACCTTATTTAGGTTTCCAAATCCCATTCTGTGGATAGCAGCAGTCTTCCACTCAGGGAGGGGAGGGTGAAACTGAACACCTGATGGATGACTTTTGAGCACTCCAAGAGGCAGCGTTATTAACACAGCATCTCCTTTGAACGTCTGTGTGGTGGTTATGGACGACTTGCTAGTGCTCTGAGTGACTATTTCCACACCTGATGGCAAATGAAAAACCCCTGGTTAGTCGTCAATTATACTATTTGAACTCGAGTTTGCTGTGCTGATGTGCGGTCAAGATTTGTAGGCTAAGAGTTTGAACGCAAGTGTCCTTTACCAGTCGAGAGTAACAGTAACGCTGCAACGACAACCCTTTATTGATTTTATATTTACAAAAATTTGTGTCACATGTAGGCAATAAGTGCTAATTAACGTGCAAAAAAGAGGGGCACCTTGTTGTCCAGCAAACAATTTTCCTTACCAGTTCTGTTGTAGCGGACATGTCTGACTGCTGTGTTGAGTCTGATATCAAGTCCTTCAGCCAGAGCAGCTGGAAGGCAGGAGTAGCCATTACGCACAGTCATGTGACTACCACTGAACTCAAAGTCATCATCTTGATCCCAATGCTTCAGTGATAACGATGTCAAAGGCGTGGCATTTGCAAACTCCAGATTAGCAAAATGCCAGTCTAGAATCTGTCGATCTCTTGATGACAAATAAACATCACTAGAAAACACAATCAACACAAATTAGCGTGATAGCAATAACAGAAGGAGTATAATAGTAACACCAGCAAAACCTTCAGGACATTTAAATTTAACCAATTTCAGAGTTACATTCTGCTTGTGCTAAAATGGGTCACTATGTGACACAATTCAACAAACATGATTTTTACTTGCACGTTCTCAGACTAACTTAGTAATACATCCAGTTTAAACAAAGGCAATCATGAATTTAACGGTTGTTGGCTATCTGATCTTAATTAGCATCAATTTTTACAATTTATTTTCCTGTTTTCTCACTTAGTTTCAGTTTGGATTGAAAAGTTACATCAAACACTCACGAAAATGTTTGCCCACAATTCTAAACATCTCAATGTTCATCAAAAATACTCTGCTATGCGCCCCTTCTTGTAACTCCCTTCTTGGTGTTTGGAATTGTGGTTAAACATGGTCTTTTGTGTATGCATTTTCCTGCAAATAAAGTTGATTTTCATATGGAAAGTTTGCATGAGGACTCATTTGGAACAGAGGCGGACTTGGAATGGAACATGGAATAGGCCTATACATACTGTACATATAAATCCCATGCCTTCAACCTTGTTAATAAACATTGTTTTAACTGAGCTTAATTTCAACACAGTGACAATCCATATACATGAACATTTCTTGCCTTAGTTACGTGAACGAAAACTAACGTCTTGTATTCACACTACGCACGTTACACTTTATGATTTGCAGAAATTTTATCAACTGAACCATGGTGCATACTTTCTTTTCAATTTTTTCTTAATAATCACGTTACCTACACACATACCTCGGTGGGTTGTCCTCTAGTTCTTCCAATCTCTCCTCTATGCGTAGCTGCTCTTCTGCCATTTCATCATATTCCTAAAAGAGAAGTCAAGAGGTCAAAAATTGCTATAATTATTCCTGGCTTTGGTTCTATTTCAAAGATCATAATGATTGCTGCAAACATATGGAAACCATTCTCCAGAAATTGTATTAATCATGCTAATGATATATATATAATATTTTTTGAATAAATCTACTAGCGTTCTATCACGAATGCCATTCTCTGATTGTCTACGCTACTCACTATCTATTCTGTGATAGATAGTAGCATAGCAGTGTGCCCTTGTTAACAATATGACTGCAGCTTCTCGGCGTTTCCGAAGTGTCTGTGAAGAGGATTTAGATAAAGTTTTGAATGCCTAGTAGATTTATACTAAAACAACTACATTATTCGCTCTCGATTTCTATGCGTGATAGTTGACAAGGGCACCACTGATAGAAATCTCAAGCTCATAATCTAATTGTTTAATATACTAAGATTACTCTACACCAGCATTGCTTGATCCAGGTCCTCTCAGCATTTATTCATTCTGAAGGGACTTTGGCAATCATATAGAATGTGATAGTTGTAAGGATACATGTAGCTCAATTTTTTTTTCTGTAGCGATTGCAACAACCACAGTGATCTTTGATCTACGGAAACCTGCCTTTGCTTAATAATGTAAGAACTATGTGCCAGTGGTGTTTATACCAAGTATACTGACATACACCAATGAAAATTTCCTTACCCTGCAAAGAGCATTTAGGTCCCTTAACTTGCTTTTCACCAAGAACTCTGATGTGATGTCCCTGTTAAAAAAGTATTTATAACTAAGTTCTAACCAGTGTCTTAAAGTTTGTAAGAGAAAAAAAAAATTGTGAATCAAGCACAATCATTGGCATAAAGTCACATATTTAATGTAGATTTCTGAAAAGTTAAAAGCAAAATGGTAAGTGGTAGACAAAGCAGTACACTTGAAATCCAGAGGTCACAGGTTCAAGTCCCATTCTGGCCACTAGCTGGTGCTAGTCAGTGGTCCCACGTTCAGCAGCTCAAACACACTGTTAAATAGCCAGCAGTCTCCTGCCAGTTGGGAGTTTTAATTGTTGTGTTATGAATTTACATGCCCTGTTTTGCTGTTTTTTCTTCTAAGTGGCCCTGAAAAGCCCCATTATTTATCAGTTGGGCACATTACTCATGCAATGAACTATAGGACTGCACCGTAATGTTACCTTGGTTCTTTGACCTTGAGTGCATCTTGATATTCTTTATGGGTCTGTTTTACCTTTTCTTTTATCTGCACCATCTAGAGGTAACAAAACACCACATTTGAGTTAAAATGACAGAATGGATACACACAGCAATAGAAAATCCACCAGTCTAGGCGTTTTTACAACAGTGATGCTACAGTTACGTTTTTGACTCTTGAACTGACTCTTTCAGGTTTCTTTGGTACAACATGTCACTGCAAATGTGCAGTGGAAATCGTGTCCATAAAATTGACTTCAATTTTTTGCTTCCACAGGTAATACTACAGTAACATTGCACCATTCTCTCAGTATCTCTTCCAAGTTTATCCAGTCTATAAAAAGTGATTTTAGTACAGAGGTCTAAAAAAAGTTCTGAAGATCTTTGCTGATTTGTCACATGTTTCAGAAGGGGGAAGAAAGGGATGGGGAATAATTAAACAACAAAAACAGGGAGGAACGAAACTCTTCAATGAGAATTCCTTGTGTGGTAGGGTTTTGGTACAGTATTTTAATCTCCCTAAACTTCATGCCATTCTGTAATCATTCACTCATAGTATAATCACCCTATTAAGAAATGATCTGTAAATTTAGTTTTCAAAACTCCTGAGGAACTAGTTTACAGTTAGGCACAAGTTTACTAGCTACACCAAGTAAACATATTGCACCTGCGCTAAACTTGTTTTAAGCTGCTCCTGAATCTTCAGAATCTTTTTGGCATATTCAATCTGCTGTTCCTTAACTTGTCTCTCTTGCATCCTGAAATAAGGGAAAATAAACAGCTTAAACATCAAGTTACATAAAAGGTCCATGTAGACCTATGCTCTAGTTTTGATGTCACAAGCTGACTACTCCCAGTTCCCGATCCCCTGCGGTTTCTGCCCAACTCAAAGTGAAATTTCAAGTTTTGGATGGTAAAAAAGTGAAGAAGAAAAATTGATGGAATTTTTTTTATTTCCAAGTAGATTCCATTCAGTGAATGAGAAAAAAGTATCTGTCATACACACTTTAATCCCATTTAATAAGCACTTTCTCTACCCACTACTCACTTGATCACAAGTTCCAAGGCATGCCCCAAGGACACAGGTTTGCTATGCATGTAGTTGAAATCCAGCTGATGTGACAGAAATGATGTGGCTTCAAGCAGTCTGTTGAACTCCCTCTCGACCATTTCATCCTTCTCTTTTGGCACCTACAGGCATGTAAGAAGAACGATTTCTAAGATGCTAAACACCACACTAAACAGTCTTTTATGCAAGTGTTTCATCAACATTCTCAAGAAGATCGAGACAAAATCTTCAAAATATAGTGGCGGCTATTTTTTATAGAACTGAACTGAGATGGCAGTTTTGCTTTCTGCAACTGTTGTGGTTACACGGGGATGCAGGGATGTAGCTGAGCAAAAACTAAGCATACTCATAAACCAGCTCAGCTGGGTTTTCTTCCAAGTTACATATTCTTTGCTTTCATAGTGAAATTTCAGCTGGTGATAAGCTACCTCATAGTCAGGGAAATTAGCCAGTAGCCAGCACTTACATGTACCCACATCCCTGCATGTGACAGAGTGCAATGTTTCTTGTAACTTGCAAAGCAATGTCATTGCAAGGCGATAAGGTACAGAAAGCAACCCATAGTGCTACACACAGTATATGTACTCTTTAAAATTCTGCTAGTGTTTTTGAAGTTTAGAAAATAGATTACATGTAAGTATGATGATGACGATATTGATTTTACCAGCTATAATTATGGCTTTGGTTGGTGGTTTAAGCTCCTGCAGGAAATTTAATATTATACAGAGAATAGACCAGACTAAGCAGAACATTACAAAGCTGATGCTGTGTACGTGTAGCCATTTGTGTTTGGATTTACGAGAATGAAAGTACAGGGGTTTCATTAATGTTTTTTACAGGAGGGCAACTGGATTTCACAGGCAGGCAAAACTTTTTGAACTGAACTTCTTTATGAGAAAAACTTTCCTCTAAATGGTCAAACCAGGCAAGCAAAATCCTCCTTACAACCGGTCAATTTGCCTGGTGTCCAGCCCTTAATGAAATCCCTGGAAAGCACCTAACACGTGTCCAAGGTACATGTACAATGAATGGTGTCAGTAACATTTTACACATGATGACAAGAAAGGAATGCCTACCCTGACTGCTGCAAGCCTGCTGTTGGCCTTCTTTTCAAGTGGCCCCTTCAGGAGAAAATCAAGTATATGTTAAACACTGCTTGTTTAAAATTTCAGCAATTTGCAAGTTGGTAATCCAGGCTTCAATGCAATGACATCACGAGAAAGTTTTTTATTTTAAGTACATTTATTTACTTTTAAGTCATTTTCCAATTGGGCATTCCAGGACTACATAGTCACCACCATAAAAGGTCTTTTTAACTTTAACAGTGAAATGCATTGTACATGCACTGATGGCCCACACTTAACTTTTTTACTTATGTCTGACAGCTTTTTTGCAATGTATTTTAAACTTAACAGCAGACAAGTTAAAAATTATTTAGTTAAGTGTGGAATTACTTTACATTCATATTATTTCATGTTTATTAACTTATCTTATTAGATGATACATTATGCTGTAGTTTAAAATTTGTAATATTATATAGTAACCCAAGTAGTTTTCAAGGGATTTTTCCTGTTCTCAGATTTTGCTACAGTTACAGTATATTTTACAACATAAGTTTAAATGGCTAAAAAAAATGTTTGAAAACAACGCATGCAATTTCACTGTGACTTTCCTGCCTCCAAAATTACAACCATGCAACTTTAGGGTAGACATAGTTTTTGATAATTGGTCGAGTGGCAAGAAAATGTAAGCAAACATTAGTAAACCTGTGCTGAAGTGAGAATCACACAAGGGATCCGGAATGAGACTAAAGACTGACAGCAAACTCTAGATGTCTTTGAGTAACCTTCAGTGTTAGTTACAGAGTCAGGACAAAGTGTACATAAAAAAGCGATCTTTTGACAAGTAGAATTTAAAAGAAACCACAAAAATTTATGTCACTGCCTAATTAAAAATTGTGTTAAGTGCAGAAAATTTTGAGAAATGCAACTATAAAGTTTCAAATTTCAGACAAGGCTGTGGGCAAAGAAAAATTACCAGGAGCCCAAAGGTTCCTAACCGTGAAATACTTGGTGCCTAAGCTTAAGCTTATAGTGCCTATGAAGTAAAAAATAAATGCTGCTTATTTGAAAGGCTTTTCAAAGTAAAGAAGGAAGGCGTTTTCCTTTTTGGAATATCTTTTTTTGTTTTAGAGATATTCATGTTTTTGTATTATGCAAATGAGGAAAGTGATGACATCATAGGTGGTTCCTCTAAAACAGCACAACACTCAATCAAGAATAACTCTAGAAATATTAAAGCAGTGTTCTTTAAACTTGGCAACAGCAATGTACATTACAAAAGACACAGAGTGACACCAACTATGCTGTTGCCATGACAACACTCTTGGCTCCAGTCTCTTTCTGTGAAAAACCAAATATCCCCATTTACAACCTTTTAAAGTGGGACAGAGGGTCTTGCTTGGAACTCACATGGTTCCCATATTGTCTTAACTCTCCCAATTAGATTGGTGGGAGTGGGTGATCCCTGTTTAAGATAAAATCTGGGAATTTTAGTCTTAATTAAAACAGAACCAGCGGCATAATTGTTGTCATGGCAACAGCACAACGGGTGTCATTATGCCAAGTTTAAAGAACACTGCTTTAATATTTCTAGAGTTATTCTTGATTGAGTGTTGTGCTGTTTTAGTGGAACCACCTATGACGTCATCACTTTCCTTACAAAAACGTAAATATCTCTAAAACGAAAAAAGATATTCCAAAAAGGAAAACGCCATTCTTCTTTACTTTGAAAAGCCTTTCAAATAAGCAGCAATTATTTACTTCATAGGCACGTTATATGAAAAAAGTAACTTTTTCTAGTTGCCTAAAGCCAAGAGTTAGTCACCTGTGGCACCCAGGTGCTTCTACTGTAGAGCACAGCCCTGTCAGAGCTTTTAATTGCAGAGCATCCAGTGTAATCAATCCAGAAAAACACATAAACAAAAAGCGTGAATAAGTTATACATTCAGGGGTGTCTCCAGTCTAAATGATGTGTAATACATATTCCTTCCAATTATATTGTTGATACCTTGAATACTCCATCTCTATAAAAATGACAATTGGCTAATGCACCTTCTTTGTTAATTTATTCAATAGATCAGTGACTGTTTTGTTCAGAGCAGAGTGCAAGAGTGTTATCCTCTAATTTTGTCCATGTTTTTTGTTAGTCAATAAACTTTATGCAGTGAATGTACTCATCGAACAGATGTTTTTGGAATCATTGTATTCTTCTACTGTTTTGTTTGCAATAGTTCAGTCTACCAAGGAGATTCCAACAAATTCTCAGTGAAGTGCTTTTACATTGCAAGAAAATGTGTGGACAGTGTTCATGTCCTGTACATACCGACTTTCCATGAGTTTCATACAATGGACACTTTTGTCTTATCTTATGCAGCTCCATGCTGATTTGATTAGCCATCACTGTCAAGGGATTTCCACCTACAAGACAGTACAGAAGAACTCTTAACAAAATATACAAAAAGGCAGAGTCAATCTGGAGACGGGTGCATGAACCATGAGGCCACTGCGCTTCCCATGAACAAATTATACAACAGACTTCATAATGCAGGAGAACATCACTAGTGAAAGACATACATGTATAAAGGGCTAATAAGTCAAACAACCACAGTGGGAATTGCAATCAACAAGTAACTAAATTTCAAGTTGATAACCAGCATAATATTAATGAAACTGTGCATGTGTTATTATTACTGGTCAACTAATTATATTCTCTTAACTTTTCTCAACAAAAAGTAAGAAATTGTGATCATGTTTATGTGTTTTAATATCAAGAAACATGGACCATAATACAATGAATGCAATGCATTAATTGCATTATATATATTTGCTCACCAAGTAGAGAGGTTTTGGATGTAGTAAAGTCTACTGAGGATAAAGTGAATTTACAGTATGTCAAAATGTTACTGCACTAACCTAATCCAGTCAGCACCATGGCTCCAAGATCTGCGATGAACTGGCCCTTACGGAATGTTGCTACTCTTCCTCCAACACGTTCCTGCAAAAAGATTAAAGAGGCAATGTCACCACACATTTAACCTTTCACATCCTGCATTTTATTATGCCAAATACAAAGGTTTACTTAGAAAAACCACTATTGTGTAAAGTTAGTAGAAGAAATATATATAACAAATGTCTACAGAGGACAATAAAAAGATTCTGCAAATTGTCATCAGTCGAGAGTGAATCCATGCTTAACAGAAAGAAAAACAGACAAGCCCATGTTGTCAAACAACATTTTCAGTCATGCATAACACAGTAACACAAATTTGGTGAACAAAAGAGATACTTGCCCTTGCTTCAACAATAGTGACATCAATTCCAAAAGACTGTAATTGTCGTGCTGCTGTGAGGCCTGAGATCCCAGAACCAACAACTATCACTTTAGGGGACTTTTTCACTACAAGGCAAATTGCAATAGAACACCTTTAATTTCATAACACTTTTATAACTTCGCTGGGTCTCCAGCAAGCTGGTGGAGGCTGGTGAAAGATTACTAAACAGCTCCAGTCCTATTTTGCACAGACCTTGCTGTCATCCATCCATACAGGTTTGTTATTAAGTACATGTAGAACAGTTATCACTTCCAGCATAGTAATTTTTCCAGCTGGACCTTTCACTGAAGTTTGTAAGTTATTAATTTACACAGTCACATAATTAACCACCTACAGTGGAATTTATGGTTTTAAATGTTAACTAACAACGACGCCATCAATGAATAACCTGTACCACTTACAAGTTGGTGGAATTTTAAGGATCTTGTAAACTCCAAAGTTTATCAAACCATATCTTGAAAGGAAGGCATGTACTCTAGAGGCAAGTTTGGGGTCGTCTAAAAGGAAAATAAAAGTGTGTTCAAACAATATTCACAGTTTTCAGTAAAAAAAAAATTAATGGCAATTTATTGAATGCTTTGCACTCTCTGACAAAATCGTGAAATCTGATTGGTTAATTAACTTGCCAAATAAAGCTTTCAGAGTTTCAATGGCACACTGGGCTAGTATGCTATGGACTCAATAACTGGAGTAGGCATGATATTTGACATCCCAGATATTAGCACAATTTTTGATTACTTATCACAGAAATCAGAATTGCTAGCAGAGTTGCAGTTAAGCAACAAATGGTTACAATGAACATAAAAATTCCCTAATGCCCTGTTAGACTTATTATTAGAGGGGTTAAATTACAATGTACAATGTAACAGAAAGTGTGCAGCTAGTTTTTTAACATTTTTAGGATATAATAACCCTCAAAACATACAAGTACAGATAATATGGAAGCGACTAAAAGACAATCGCCCAACACACTGATGAGAGAAATAGTGTAAACATAAGACATGTAGCAGGTACTAACTATTTTGTGGAGGTTCCAGTTGTGACAATGCATGCTCCAAGGTCAACTGCTGCCGCGGATTCTCGACCCACAGTTGCAGCTTCATCACAAAAAAAAGCTCAAATTAGTGATAATTACTTGTATTATTACACAGGAAAGAAACTTGTACATGTGCAGCCTTCAATATGATTACAAGAGTATAGTATGAGGACATATGTATACATTAAAAGATTTTGTTTGGTGCATTCACTGACAGCATTATCTCCTCGTTTACAAAATTTCAACTACTTAAAATCTAAAAAATACGTAATTAAAATCTTATAAGATTTAAATATACCATTCTATTCCTGATGTACAGAAACTGCTTCTGAACTGGTGGGGGTCCTTGTGAAACATCCGGAAAACAAGATGCCTCTTGTGAAGTCATCTTGTCAAATGGCAATCTGCTCTGGAAAGCTGCACCTTCAAGTCCTGTTTGTAATTATTAATTAATATAGATTAGAATCACCAATAATTTTGTTGTCCAAGTTCATAGTAGCTCCTTAACATTATGACCATGCATACCATATCTGTAATCAGTGGCCTGCTTTTTGAGCAAGCAGGATTTAATAGTAATTCAAAAAATTGATGTATGCCTCTAGAGATTTTCCTGTGCACAACTCATTAAATTAAAGAACTAGTTAAAGGGTTGGTCTTGATTAAAAAGAATAGAGCTTGAAATGTGTTGCTCTGAACCTGGACTGTTGTCAAGGTCAGAAAAGTTTTAAACTGTGGATCAAAGGTTTTCCAACAGTCTACAAATGAATATAATATTTTTTCACTGGGTGGGTGTGTGCCACTCCTTGGAAGACACACTGTAAACCGCCACTTATAAACCCAGGACTTATACAACTTTGTAAGGGCTTTTAGATGGGCTTATAAATGGAGGGGCTTATATCCGAGGGGGAACAATCCAAAACGAGCTATAGCTGCATGTAGATCAAAAAAGGTTTTTCATTTACTGGCAATTGAGCTTTAAAAGATCATAATAAAACAAATTAAAAACGAGGAAAGCTAGAGGGGGGCTTATATCCTGGGGGGCTTAATATAACTGGATGTAATTTTTGGTTTACAGGTAGATGGGCCCAAAACCGGGGTGCTTATAAGCAGAGGAACTTACAGGCATCAGTTTACGGTATCCATTGTGCGAAATGGAAATCCACAGTGTGACTCAGTAGAAGGAAAGGGGCTACATGTATGGCTCAAACTCAGGAAATTTTAAGACAATTGTAATTTATAAATACAGTCATTTTGAGAAAGGTCATCCTCCAAGATCTTAAGAGCATGGGCAACAATACCAAAAGGTAAATTATCGTTTTAGCTGCATTTTCCTGTTCTCCAAATGGAGAAGATCAGCCAAACAAGAACTGCAGCAAATAGGCCTGTGATGGACCCAAATTGAACGACAAGCTCAGGACAGAGAGCAGTGGAAGAAAACTGTGGTTGACCTATGTTCCACTTAGGAGGCAAAGGACTGTAAATATATTTTTTCCTATTGCCTGATCAAAGTTCAGGATGTTAAATCATGAAGGAAGGAAAAATCATGTATACATTTGTGAGTATTGATGATTTCTTCAACTTCTGTGTTGAAACACCATGAAAAAAACAAGGTTGCCACATACATTTTCACACCTTCATGGAACAACCTTTCCAGAAAACGTGCCAGTGAATATAAATCAGGAAGACCCTTACCAGCACACTGGTTGAGTGAGAGAGGAGAAATTCAACCTTGTTTTGAACTTCAGATTTCTCTCTTGGTGTAACATGCACGGTGCTTTGATTATCTGTTAAGAAGTGCTGCAAAGCACATGAAACCTACCTTCTGGTACATCTTCTTCTTCCTCCTCCTCTTCTACGTCACGTTGCTCGTCAGTCTCCATTGGCGTAGGGACTGGTGATATTCGTGAACTGGTTCTCATGATTTCATCATCAGATATTTCATCATCTGTCAGATTTGCCAACTTAACATCAACTTCAGTGTACTCGACCTAAAAACAAAATGTATTCCATTGTTTGATTAGAATAAAGATCAGACAAATTTTTCTACAAAGTAAATAAACCATATGAGTCAAAATCTTCAGGTTAGTTATCAGTTCCAGTTCATTTTACCACAACAAAGGAAAATTGTGTTCCTGGTACATGGTGCATGCTCAGCATGATTGTCGTTCAAGAGCAGTGTGAAGTTCCAAGAACTCAGCCATGGAATTGAAGCCTTTGTCGTGGGATGGCAAAATCAGTTATAGGGGTTGAAACCACTGAGTAAGGAATGGTGATCTCCACCAAAATTAAGGGTTGTACATGAAGGAAACAGTAAATTAAAGCCATCTGGATTACACCTTTTACCATATGATTTAGGTCAAAAGAATGAACAAAGTAGCCCTTACTGCAATGTAGAGTCCCGGTACTGGTTTACAACAGTGCAAATACGAATGGAAATAGTGGTGTGACAAAATGGCTGAAATGAGCGACCAAAATAGTCAAATAAATAGCAATTTAATGGTTTCATTTGGGTTATAGAAAATGATTTCTAAAAACACTCAAGCAGGAAAATGAACGTAAGTAAAGTGACATGACGTTTCGACGACTTCATGTCATCATAATTTGTTGAATGAATAAATTAAAAATAACGGCAAGGAATATTTATAGTACTTAGGATGTGAGAAAATGAAATCAGCCTTCCTTGTGTTGTGTTTTTTTTTTAGTTTAATTAGTTTTCTATATTTTGGGGGCATTTTCAATAACAGAACTATTCCACTTACACTTGTTGGATTTTTTTTTGGGGGGGGGGGGGAGGGCTCCTTTACCTTCACCTTTATTTTCTTACTACATATATTTTAACTCTTAACTTTCGCTACATACAACACTTGCGGCTAACTGTCCTACTAATAATAATACTACATAATTTGTTGCTTGTTGGATGTGAGATGATAATAGTCAATTTGGAGCTACATGCCTCGTCGGCTATCTATTATCTCACATCCAACGCATGCTCGTGGTATAATACTTTTGTTAAATACACGATGACACTTTGCTCATTGCTCGACAGACAGATTTTTTCTTGCCCCCTTGGAAAAATACTACTACTACTACTACGATATGTAAATATGTTAAACCATCAAAGAAGCTGTATTTACTTTTGTTTTTATACTTTGTTGCCCTGAATATTTGTAACAAAAATATGTACTGTATTAGTATGACATTATTGTTACATTTGTAGGAGTTCTTACAAATACCATAAACAGGGGTAAGTTTGCGTAAACGAAATCTTACAGCACAAGCCACAGAAACCTTAATAAAACCTTGCTAAATATTCTATGTGTACTAAATGTTATGCAATACAAGAGAGGAATATACCAGCTGTCACACATGAATTTCACTTTTGAGCCAGCAGAGAGAAATACTTCGTTTTTCTTTATAAGATTGCATTGCTAAAAAGGAAAACTGAATCTTCCCTCTTAGGATGTCTACATCTGATGGAATGCTAAGGTTTAATTATCAAGGATTTGAATGCCGAAGCCCGGGCTAAACCGAGAAAATTTCATCGAAATATCAGATGAACGCACATGGAGAACGCGTGTCTAGCAAATCGATCAATAGGTTTACTTCGCCGCTTTTAAAGTCAATATCTTTCGCCTGTGCTTCAGCCTTCCCCTTAGAAAATCACCTAGTCTACAAAGTAACGCTTATTAGAAAGAGAAAACGCCAATTTAGGTATTGAACTTCAATCTTTACCTTTGAATCAAGTTAAACGACCCTGGGGAAACCTACAATTTCTTATTCTGATTCACTCACCGCCATTGTCACAAAGAGACAAAAAAACCAACGCGATTTCCAAAAGAACACGAAGAACTCTTATTCGATTTCCCGTGATAGAAGCCAGGCGATTTTTTAAAGTATTTAACTGAAAATTCTCAGTTCAAACAATGATTATCTCGTCCGTGAAGAACAAGCGAAAGTCATACATCACCATTCTTCCGCGGACAATTACTCCCGCGTGACCAACGCGCATCAAATATGTAAACAATTCTAACGCGCAACGCCGTAAAAAAATAAGTGATTTATTTGTTGTGAAAAAATACGGCAGCTCTGCGACAAATTAAATGAAACGAAAGATAAGATATGCAATAAATGTTTCTCGAGACTGGTTCAATTGCTGGGGAAATCTTCTTGCAAGTACGACCCGTTGCGTGTTAGTGATTACAAAGTTTCATTGTTGACAAAGTGACGTAGGGCTTCCCACCATTCTGGTTCTAAAATCTTGTCGAAAAACTCTCATTTGCTCCCATGTGAACCGGAACGGAGGGATTCCAGAGTTTCTCCAGCTTTTTGCGCTTTCAGGGTTAAGGAAATTCGGCTAAATGTGAACGGGGAAGCTATTAAATAATTCTTTGAAACAAAGCCCATGTGACTTTGACGAACCACTAACCAGTTAGCATTCAGGGCTTTCTTGACAGTTCGTTTAGTGTTGCATAAATTTAGCATCCCGGATCGGAGGTCACGGCAAAATTACTTGAAAAATTCGATTCTTAAGGCTTCACATGTGTCTTCCGTGCCCTGGAAAGACTTCATCTGAAACTTTAAGAAAAGAGCTGAGGCTGAACACAAAACCGTATTGTTGACAATAAATTGAAGAATGTTGCATAATATATCATGAATGACAAATTTAGATAATGAAGACAAACTGTGAAACATACTTTAGGCCGCTTGCGCTGACTTGTCCTTCTGGCCATCTCTGCTTCGAGGTCGAACAATTCGGCATTTGATCTGGAGCTTGGACTAGCTCCGTTTTCTCGTTTTTCCTCCAGGTTGTTAGAGTCTGAATGACTTCCATTCATACCCTGACCTGGCATGTTTGGTTTAGGTGCTATGAAAGGAAGGCCGCTCAGCGGCTTAGGAAGAATTGGTGGCGGATAAGAACCCGACATTATCAAATTCCAGATGCTACTTGACCTATCTGGCCACTTTTGGACGAACCTAGTTCAACTTGTAAGTTTGGAAATAAATTGTGGAAATTGGGTGAAATTCAGCGTGATAATCTGGCGGAGAGAAATGACAAAGGGCCAGGTGGAATAACAACGTGAATTACTGCACGTGACGAAAATCCACCAATCACGGCATGAAAAGAACGCATGCGCGATGTCAAATCAAACAGTTCCCATAGCAACAGGTTATTGACAGAATCAACACATCGACTGTCAGATTTGTCGCGTGATATCTAATTCATTTTTTTCCAGTTTATCACCTTGTTTGTATTTCATTGCCTCAAGTTTAATAAGTGTACGCGGTAAAACGATCATCAATCGATTGTTTTTCGCTCGGATCGATTGTGTTTTTCTTTCTTGATATCTCTGTGAAACTATACGTCATTCGACCATGCCTGACAACTGTCACTAAAACCCTTGACAACAAACCATTGATAGCCGGAATGTCGATTTAGTGCTTCTCCAGCCAGATCTAGCGATTCAATTTTTGGATAAACCTGGTTAAAAATAAATGGACCAATGGAAAACGTGTTTAAATGTGCGCAAACTGAAAGCCACATTAACCTTCAATGTCTGTAAACAACGTCTTCAACCAGATGTTCGCGGCCACGCGATGTCGCATCTACACGCCATTTCCTGTCCCTTTCTATGGATAAGCTACTTCAAAAATAGTTCTACTAAGCTTAAAGAATAATTGCTTTTCTCGCTTTCTCATTTAGCATCGGCAAAGCAAATCTAAGCAGACCGCAAAGACTCTTCTTCGTTTAGCTCAGAAGGAAGGTCATGCATTCGACTTTTCTTGGGAGATTTCGGAATTTTTTCGGAGAAACTTGTGTCGCCTATAACTTTGTCAAGAATCTTTTTTTGTCTGAAGACAAAAAGCAAATCCTAAATATTAACAGGTAACAATTTCACATGCAATATTCATGTGCGTACTGAGCGCATTAATTTTGGGATTTGATTGGTGCAATTCTAAAATCACTCCAGGAGTTATTACCACGAGGTGATACTGTTCAATATTTCGTGTATATAACGAATTTATTACAAAATACTATCTGATATCGAAATCGATTTTTCGAATCAGATGATAAATCTAACATTAAAATATGTCTAATCACACACTGAGACAACGAATTATCGATCGATTACATTTGTGCCACCGTTTACATCGTGTCAATCAAGACATGCAAATCTGATATTGTCCGTCGTATCACTTCCATTTCTCGAGGTGTTAGGAAGTGGTAGCAATTTGTTCACTCAAACATATTACAAAATTTGTCAGCAGAGAAAATTAGTGTAAGTACCTAATAAAGAATGTAAATTTAATTTATCGTGTGATCAGGAGACCAATATTTCAACACGGTAATTTCATAAAAACACCGATATGGTTTCCAAAACGGAACTATCTTCCTTAGATTACGACAACACGTTTGCTGGTTTATGATTATTTCGCGATATTGTACTCAAATCTCAGCCGTAATCAAACCATGTAAACTCTCTCCCAATGTAAACATCAGAAAATACATTTTCAGACTTATATTTGCTAATAAGTCTCCCGTTTTGGTCGCTTACTATTGCATCACTGTTAATACTTTCCGGCCAAACAAAATATTTGTCGGTGACCTATTTTCGCAGAACAATCCAATCAGCTTTTTATTCATATATTTAACGCAGACATAATATCGCAGTGGAATCCAATCTGTCAACCGTTTTTAAGTAATTCGTTTAGATTCATTTGGAAGCGAGATGGCATTGCGCTCGTCTCCGAATCCAGGGGTCCTTTCCATTATCCCAAAGATTCCGGAAATATTCGGTCGGAAGTCGAATGGAAGGGTCCGTTTTGGTTTCTTCCGGCCGGAATGTTCGGGATCACCTCTGGAGGTGGTCCACTTATTTCGATTTGAATATTCTGACCGAAATTCGCCGTTCCATTTTTGACAAAGCGGTTCATTGCCCTACTTCACTTCACTTATGTAGGGCATCCTGAAAAAGAATTAAAAATGGTAAGAGCCATTCCTCTTGGTTAGCCCGGTTTGATCGGGAAATGTCGTTCCGTTTTCCGTGGGTATTCGCACTGGTCTGTGACCGGTCTCTCTGGCACAATGGAAAGCACCCCAGCAGTCCGGGTTCGAGCCCTGGCCGGGGACATACATTGTGTTGTGTTCTTGGGCAAGAAACAGACAGACAACCTTTATTTAAGCACAAAACTAATCCCTCTCCCTCGCGCTATATAGGGTCTGGGGGTTGAACCCAGGCGGGAGAAGAGAGAGTCTCCTATAATTTTCTCCACGGTTGTGCACAGACTCCGAAGGTAACAGCCAATTTCTACCTTGAACGTAGCGAAATCGACAACTAGCGAAACCGCGCAACCTTAGGCGTACTAGTGCATAGTCGCATTAAAATAGTTCGTTACATTTCCATGGTGTCTACGTCTTCTTCTTCTTCTTCTTCTTCTTCTTCTTTTTTTTTTTTTCATGGACGTGTTTACAAGCTAAGGCAGGTAGGGTTCCCCTAGCGCTAGAGTAACCCTAGTGCCCAACTAGGGTTTCCCTAGCGCAAGAGTAACCTTACCTGTCTTGAAATTAAACATGTCCATGAAAAAGAAGAAATGTGGGAGTGCTAGGGTAACCCTCTTGTTAGAGAGCAAGAGCAAGTACCGTTAGCACCTAGCTAGTGCACGGTTTTGCTTCTCAAGATGCTGGTGTGATACGTGTAGAAGTAGGCTTATCATTCCTGTGCAATGGGATTTAATAAAATCGTCAGGATGCCTATTACTATCTCGTCGGTGTGCGTCAGATAGCGATAGCAAATGACCGGTTGGTGTTCGCGCTTGCATGGGTCGTAAGTGGAAGACGAAAAAAC